CTTGAGAGAAAGGAAGTACACAGGGTGAACCCCAGTTCAGCATGTCTGCCTGCCTGGAGAACTTTTCCCACCATGGTACAGGAAAGTGGAGCTCAAACCCTGGTGATTCAGCCGAGCTGAAGAGGCTGCAGAGACAGCTGGAATTGACAGGGCAGGTCGCTGGAGGGGCTGCACTTGAAAACCAGGAGACATGTACAGCAATTTTTATAGCACTACCATTTATAACAGCAAAAGCTCCAGGAACAACCTAATGACCCATCAACAGGAGAGTGGATCATTTGTGGTAAAATCACACGACGAAATGTTACAAGGCACTGAACGTGAATGAACTAGTTAAAAACAAGCCAGTAGGGTAGTGTTGAGTGAAAAGGGCAATTCCCAGAAGACTTCATTCAACAAATACGTTTTGTAAAATCAAAAGCAACTAAAACATACAGTAAGTCACACATTTATATGTGATCAAATATACGTGGATAAAATGTGATTGAATAAGAGGTTAACTTATAGTTACCAGACAAGAAAGGGAAGAGGGGAGAGGAGACAAATTAGGGGTATGGGATTAACAAACTACTAGACGTAAAAATAGATAAGCAACAAGGATTTACTGTATAGCACAAATTATACCCAATATCTTGTAATAACCTATAATGGAGTATGATCTGCAAAAAAACTGAATCACTATGCTATACACCTGAAATTAACACAATACTGTAAATCAACTATACTTCAATTAAAAAAAGGTTAAATAACTTGTCCAAATTCCCAAATTTAGTATTGGAGTCAAGGACATAACTCCAGTACTCAGTATCCCCAGAGCCCTGCGGGAGGAATGTCTATTGTACTTTCCACATAACTAGTTTTCCTCTCCACCTAAACTGTTAAGAATCTCAGAAGTGAATCTGGTACTCTTATCATAGCAAGTATATTATTAACACATACATATTATGCATACTTTTAGCTAATATTTATTATTCACTATGTCTTGCCACTAGGATGTCTTAGATGTATTGTCTCATTCAATGCTCAAAAAAAAAATTGATTTTAACACCTGAGGAAACTGAAAGGTTACACACGAGGTCTGACGTTACCCAACTGATAAGAAACAGCCCTATTCAAACTGATCTGATTCCCAGTGTAAGCTCATCAGCTCACTCTTAATTTCTTTCGTAACTTCGTTTTTCCTTTTGTATGTATTTTATATAGTTTGTTCTTTGTATAAGCCATCTCACCTTTATTGCAAAAATGTAGAGAATCAAAGAATAACACATGAATCTATGAATTACAATTTTGCTTTCTCTTTACCTACTGCCTGTGCTCGTTGACTGCTATGTCTTCCTGAAGAAAGGAGACTGGACCAGTTCTGAAATTTGATACTACACACTGCTTAAAAGTTTTGGTTTTTTTCCTTTTAATATGACACTAATCGTGCTCCTGAGCCACTATTCTATAGACATGTTAACTCCCAGGATGAGGCTAAGAGAGGTCTGCGCTAAGTCCTGAAGAACAAAGGCTCAGGAGCCCAATATTCCATTAAGACCTCAGAGACAATGTCTATATTTACCTTTACAACAGGATAAGAAGTTAGATGAGTTTCCAATCAGGGCGAGAAGGGTTTCTCGACAACTAGGAAAATAATGCTTAGCGGGGAGGCCTGTACTTAAACTTTTACCAACAGCCCTAACTCAGATGTTATAATAACTCAGATGTTAATAATCCTACATTTACCTACACTAATGTATAGAAGTGGCAAACTGGTGACCCTTGACAGAATCTTACCTACAGACATGTTTTCTTTGAGCCTGACACTTGAATTCATTGCCAATATTTACAATTCAGATTTCACATTTTTTAAATATCTAGAATTCTGGTTCCACTTGAAAATTTGGGAGATTTGGGAATCCTAGACCCACATTTCCATCCAGCAACAGGACTGAGCTAAACAATGGCTGTTCCCTCTATCCTGGGCATTTATGTTTACAAATGTTTATAGAACAGCTACTCTTTCTGGCACGAGGTGTACAAAAATGGCTTATTTCTAGAGAGAGATGTTTTATTTTTAAAAGGACTGGATCTTGTGCATCGGCAAAACAGTCCCTTTAGCTTTCTTCTTGCCATTCCCCAAGAAATAAAATCATTACTGCTTTGTAAACAGTTTTAGTGGCATACGTAGTAATAGAAAGTCAGCTTTAAGATAATGCTGTTTGGCTAAAACAAACTTATGGTTTAGTACTTACAGTAAATGATGCCGTTAAAGAGCAAAACACAAAAAGGCATACTGTCCCATATTGAGCAAGTTTGCAAAGTTACATAAGGGACCTCAGGATCTTCTAACACAGCTTTTATAGATTAAAAGACCAAAAGTAGTGGCTACCATCTGGAAAGAAATTTGAGACCCTACTTCAGTTCTTGCACCAAAATAAATTCCAGAAGGATCAAAGATTTAATTAAATAATAAAAAGAAAGCAAAGGCAGTTTTTATAATCTTTGAGTGGGAAAGGCCTCCCAAGGCCACTAGGGAATAAATTTGCCTACATAAAAACAAATCTTTGCATGAAAACAAGCATCATAAAGTCAAAAGACAACATAGAAAAAAATATTTACAATGCAGGTCACAAAGGGTCATTTTCCTTATTTCCCACAAATTACTACTAAGACCAATGAGACAGAAGACCATGGGAAACACTAATGGCTCTTTAACATAAAAGTATGCTGAATTCATAATAGGAGGAACCATTTTTTATAGATAGAATAGCAAAGATTACGAAGTTTGAGAATGATAATGTTGCTGAGATGAGGAAATAGACATTCATTGCTGTGCAGTACACATTAGTAAAACTTCTGAGAGCGAGCAGGTTCTGGCATATACCAAGTACAGGTTTTAGCTATTATAATAACAATTTTAAATGCACAAACTTATAGAATTTTTTGAAATCATACAAGGATATTCATGGCAATGTTGTTCTTAAAGCAAAAAGAACACAACCATAAGTATCTTTAAGGAACTGGTTACATTGTGATCTATTCAATGGGCTACTACGCAGATGGCTATTTAAGTGAAATGTGGCAGCTCTGTTGTGCTAAGAATCTAAAATGATGAGAATTAAGGGGCAGAACAACATATATAATAAGCTTCCTTTTGTGCAACATTGATATATATGCACATATGACTGTTGTGCTTCAGTCTCTCTTGAAGGGTAAATTATTACATTACTGGAGTTGCCTCCTGGGAGAACCTGGTAGTTGGAAATCAAGGTTGTAAACTACCCACTATATAGATAGCCCTTTTACATTTTATACCATCAAGATATGACTTATTTTTAAAAAGAAAAGGGGGGGCAGGTGGTTTTCATAAACACATCCCCAAGTACTGGCTGGCCTGGGATAGAACCTGATTCTTACCCCTATTTCAGAGCTTTCCAACATAACCACTCCTTGAGGTCATTTAGTCCTGAAAACAAGGGTATTTTAAATTTTGATCCACACTTAGAGAAAATATCAAATATGAGGGCTCATCTCAAATGCTGAGATTATGGAACAACTCTTGATTTTAAAAAATAAGTCACTCTTAGACATTTAAACTATATTTCATTTAAAGAACAGAATGAAAGCAAACACAAAAACTCCCAAAGAGAAAGGTGACAAGGAACCAGATAGGTCTGCTTCATGGGTCTAATTTAGATATAGAAATCCTTAAGAAACAGGCTCTATTTCAATTTTAAAAACTCCTATTTAATATCTTTTCTATGCATTAAGTACTGTTGTAAATACTTAACATTCTTATTTAATCATGAAAACACTGCGAAGTAGGTACTGACACCCTACACAGATAGAGAAATAAGCCCAGAGGTAAAGTCCATACAGCTAGCATTTGGTAGAGCTGGGGAACTGGGATCCAGACCTAGGCGTGTCTCTAAAACACCTTACCCCCAATTTTTTAGCATTAAGTCACCTAACACCAGGAAATATTTTTTAAATACATAAAACTCGTTTTCATTTTATGATCAGCAAAAGCCCCAAAACAATTGTGATATTAATGGAGGGCAATCTCTAAGAGGTCTGAAGATTCTACTTCAGTCCATCTGCTCTGGGAATTATGCTAATACCTTACCTTCCATTTAACAAGTTTGGTTAGTATTTCCTGTGTCAGAAATAATTCCAAATATGGCATAAGATAGACAACCAAGGCTCCCATGGTTGGGTAATAAGAATTTTGGCTATCTTTAATACTTGATAGGTAACCAAGACTGTCAGGTTTAACTATGAAACTATCAACAAATAGGTTTCTTCTATAATCTCTTAGACAACAGATGGCTAACTTTCACTAATAACTTGATAACTATTTACAATAGTTATCTAAATTCCAATGCAAGCAACTGCTTCCTCAAATGAGCATTTCCTAGTAACTGCTTTCACCTGTAAATATCCTAGTAAAATCTCGCCTAACTACAGTCATGGAAAATCACAACCACCATCTCAAAAGCTTTCTTGGGTTAGTTACCGAGAATTCTAGGCTTAAGACCACAATGATTTTTAAGATTTAACTCAAAATTCACTCTGGTATTCTACCCCAAACTAGATCATTATCAACAGAAAATGTAACCCTGTTCCTATTGTTTTTAAAAGTTTATGTGTTTTTAGGTATGGATTCACTGTATGAGCTCCTCTGCCTCGTACTAAAAAAAAAGTTTCTCTCAAAATAAAATGTCAGCTAAAAAAAATGGGACAAGTTAGCTAACAAATGAACATAAATGTCAAGAACAAACCTTGCTCATTTTATAAAACTGCATAAATTTTTAAAGTTCATTAAATTCCACTGCTGGTTTTTAAAGAACACTTTGTAAATATGAATAATATGGGCATGTTTGACTTTTAAACAAACATTATACTAAATCAACCATGTCTGAGAACTGTTAGGCAGAAAAACAAAAAAAAGTTGACATGGTTCCAGACCATGACTTTTAAAGCAAAAGCTAATTGAACATATACAAGGACAATAGAAATAATATACATAATTTTATTACAAAAAGTTTTTAAAAAAAACAGAATGCAACATTCTCATTCTAGAAAACCCAAAATTCACTACTGATACTAATTTCTGAGTTTGCTGTGCTACCATACACAAGTCAAGAAGTTAAAGAAACCATTAAATATTCAGAAACATTCATCAGAAGCTTTAAAATCTAACTATGTAGTAGCCCCTCAAAAAGCTACAACCTGCATTTTTAAAAAAGTATTTTCTCTACAAAGAATCTTATCAGCTATACAAACATCTGTACAGTTTTTATACTGAAGCTAATATTGAGCTGCACTTGAATTCACATTCTTAGCAAAACCACTGCCTGAGCACACACGCACACTGCACACGCATCGTTACAGGACAGCCATTCATTCCTCATCTTCATCCTCTTCCTCCTCATCTTCCTCCTCTTCCTCCTCTTCCTCTTCCTCCTCATCTTCTGGTTCATTCTTCTTCTTGGAGCCTGTTGGCCTGCCAGGGCCCTTCTTTCCCGCTTCACTCTTGCCCTTGGCACGGTATGCGGCAATATCCTGAGATATTGTCAAAAAAATAAAATTGTCATCCGGTGTCATTACTCAACCATGAAAACCACTAAGTTGTAAACAATCTAAGATTATTGGCCAATAACCCCGATGACTGTCTAAAACTTGGTTTCGAGATCATTTGTTCCCTCCAGGCCTTCAAAAGCTAATGTAAAATAATGGGGGTGTATCAGATTGATGTCTGTCAGTACTTTCACTACCGTCATCTGTTAGCGGCACACAGCCTGTCCCCTGACTTCACATTTTAGATACACCTACATAAAACATTTAGCCCTCCACTCTTCTCAACTAAGAGATGCATTTTACCACAAATACATCTGAATGCAGCAACCTCCCAGGGCTACAAACACCGGTTGCAGTCCAAAGAAAGGAGGTTCCAATTAGCTTATACTCCTTATGTGTACAACTCTCATTAGACCTTTTCAAAGCAAAGCTGACAACCATTAACACAGACCTACGGAAGGTTCCCCACTTGCTAGTCAGGGAAAGCTGACTACAGCTTATACCTATTAACATACAGCTTACACCTACTTCTAACATGCTCATTTAGAAACCGGCTACCAGATTTCAACCTTGCCTCAAAAAATTTCAGACAACACACCTTTTCATATTTCTCCTTTAGCTTAGCTGCTTTCTGTTCATAGGGCTGTTTGTCTTTGGCTGACTGCTCAGACCACATTTCACCCAATTTTTTGGCAGTATCGCCAATGGATAAGCCAGGGTGCTCACTCTTGATCTTTGGGCGATGTTCGGAGCAAAACAGGAAGAAGGCAGATCTGAAAGGAAGGAACAGAGCTGTAATGACCTGAATGAAAAATCATGGGGGCAATTCAGTTGACTGAAAAGAAAACAAAAAACAAAAAAATCTTACGGAGGCCTTTTAGGCGCATTGGGATCTTTTTTCTTTCCCTTCTTGTCACCTTTGGGAGGAACATAATTCTTCATCTCCCTGTCATAGCGAGCTTTGTCACTTTTTGCCATATCTTCAAACTTGGATTTTTCCTTGGCAGACATGGTCTGTGGGCATGAAAGCAGCAGTGAAAATGCAATACTGTAAACCGACATCCGTCCCCAAAAAGACAGGGTTCTCTTCAGGGCCACATTTGCCTCCGTTGTCTTAAAATACACCAGCACCCCGAAGTCCTGTGCCTCTGACTCTGAATAAAACACTGGGGCCAGTCGGCGGCGGAGGCAAGTTCAATGTCACGGCCACCTGCCCGCGTGAGGACCCTCGCTCTCACCTTCCATCTCTCGGAACATTTCTTGGAGAACTCGGCGAAGTTGACCGAGGAGTCGGGGTGTTTCTTCTTGTGCTCCTCCCGGCAGGTCTGCACGAAGAAGGCGTACGAGGACATCTTGCCCCGCGGCTTGTTGGGGTCGCCCTTCCCCATGCTGCTGCTGCGGCGGCGGCGGCGGCGCGTCCACCTGGCGGGAGAGCGCGGCGGGCGCTAGCGGGCGGGGCGCCTTCCCGCCCAAACGCCGCCGCCCCCCACCCCCCGGGCCCGCCGCCCCCGCCCGGCCCTTCCTGACAGGAAAGCCCCCGGCTTCCACGCCGCGAGCCCTGCTCCGAGCTGCCGCCTCGCGCCCCGCGTCCACAACACTCCAGAGACGGGCCCGGACGAGCTTCCCGCCTCCGCAGTCCGGCCCGCCCGGCCAGCACCCGGATCCCGCCCGCGGGGCGAGCCCCGAGAGCCGCAGGCGCCCGGGCCGGCCGTGAGGGAAGGCGGCCGGCCGGCCACGCACCCCAGGCCCGGAGCCGGCTCTTGCCTGGCGGTAGCTTTTCCTCAGAGTACCGCGCAGCGGCCGGGTCCGACCGCAACGCTGCTACCCGCGGCTCCGGCGTGAAGTAGTATGTCGCTAACGCAATCCTCCGTCTCTTGTTTTGCAGACTTCTCCGCGCCACGGCAACTTGACGAGCCGGGCCACAGGCCACACCTCCAGCCGCTCCGATTGGCCCTGGGGATTATTCAAACTCGGAGAGGCCCCGCCCCCTCGCCACGGCGGCTTCCGAATGGCCGGTGTGTCGCCAGGCTCGTCCCCCCGGCCGCAGCCTAGCAGGTTCGGTGGGTCGCCCGGGTAGTTAACTCCTAGACCCGTTAGAACCGGTCAGGAGAGGAATGTGCTGCTCGATCCTGATTGGCGGCCGGAAGAGGGTTTGAAAAATGGCGGGCCTGGCGCTGACTGGCTGGGGCGGGCGGCGGGGGGCGCGGTTGGCCCGTGGATTAGCCCCGCCAGATTTAAAAATACCGTGTCGCGAGTCCGCGGGCTGCTCTCCGGGATCGACGGCGCTCG